TCGCAAAATGTGCGCTTCGGCATAACATTGTACGCGCTATGAACAGTACAAGCAGAAAGGACGAGCTCGCAAAGGAACCCAAGATGGAAGCTTTGCGGTTCAACTTACTTGATTGCGCAGATTCAGTTCTATCCAACTCGAAATTGTACTGTTTTGTTTGGTTGTCTATAGTGTAGCAGGGCAGGCACTATAGGGGTACAATTTAGGTGAAGGTTGGATGTTGTTTGTCTGTATCTGCATGCTACAGGGCCAGGGGAAACCAGCGGAACCAGCATTTGGCTGGTTGGGCAAAGACAAAACAGGCTCTGTTTTTAGGACCTGAACCTGGTTGTTGTTTTCCCAGGTTGGAAAAACAGAACCAGAGGTTGTTCACCAACCTACCACCTGCCATTTTGTCCAGCCAGGTTGGTTCTGTTGCTTGGAATTATTTGGGATCATCCGTGGTTGTTCCCAGGTTGATTCCCAAGGTCCTTGCTAGCTAGAGCTATTTATTTCTTCTCTGTTTGTACCTGAATATAGTGAAATTGATTCAGGCGAATTCCTTCCTTGCTGGAATTTCGTTTCTACGCGGTGCGACGGCGGAATGCTACCCGAGTCAACGCTAGTACGCTAGCACTCCAACGCTAGGCTAACGCTGTCCGAGCCATAACTTCGTAATGGCAGAACTTTTCGCGAGGCAACTTGGCTTATTTTAAAGCTCTTAGAGTGAGCTTCGATATAGGAAATTCTCAGCTTAATCCGATCGACGGTCTGCACGATACGCTGCGCAACGTTCAAGGTACTCTTGCTGTTTTGACTAAGTCCCTCTTGATCCCTCTCTCTACAAACTCGGACCCGAGGATAGGGGCTGGTCTTGTACCAGGCACCCAAGGACCCTTGGAGGTGACCCCGAGGAGAGGTTTTAAGTGTGATAAAGTCTTAATAGCTTGAGTTTATTAGGCCCTTACACCAACAGAACCTGCCTACTGTTTTCTTGCCCCTGCACCAGAGGAACCAGCTAGCATGGAGGAGGCATTAGCTGGACCAGATAGGGAGAAGTGGCTGGTTTCCAGGGATGCTGAGTACCAGAGCCTGCTAGAGAATGGGACATGGGAGTTGATGGTGCTGCCTGAGGGGAAGAAAGCCGTACAGTGCAAATGGGTGCTAAGGATCAAGACCGATGACAAGGGACAGGTCACCATCTACAAGAGTACGCTGGTGGCTAAGGGGTTTATGCAGAAGGAGAAGCGGGACTTCAATGAGATCTTTGCTCCCACTGCCAAACCCCCTACCCTCCGTGTCTTGTTGGCAGATGCAACCGTTAGTGGGAAATTCATCATTCAGATGGATATATCAACGGCATTCCTCAATGGGATTTTAGAGGAGGAGGTGTTCATGACGCAGCCACCTGGGTATGAGGATGGTACGGGCAGGGTGTGCAAGCTGAAAAAGTCCATCTACGGCTTGAAGCAGGCGCCACGCTGCTGGTACCAGAAGTTGGCAGCTGTTTTAGAGGAGATGGGATTCAGGACCAGCAGCTGTGATGAGAGCCTCTTTCTCAAGGGGGAGGGGGAGAAGCTGGTGCTGTTTCTGGCCTATGTGGACGACATTCTTCTCTTTAGCAGCAGCATGAAGGAGATTCAGAAGGTGCAGCAGCAGCTGATGGAGAACTTCAAGTGCAAGAACCTTGGGGAGGTAAAGTACTATCTCGGGATGCACGTGGAGAGAGATCTGGATCACAGGTGGTTGAAGCTGCACCAGGAGAAGTTCATCAAGGAGCTTGGGGAGAAGTACGGAATTGAGATTGAGCGCAAAGTTGCAACTCCCCTGCCAGCAGAATTCAAGCTTGTAAAGGCTGCAGAGGATGAAGGGGTTGAAACTGAGGAGCAGCAGCATTTCCAGTCCTTGGTGGGGAGCCTCTTGTATGCAGCAGTTCACACCAGGCCTGACATCTCTTTCTCGGTTGGGCAGCTGGCTAGGGTGGTGCAAAATCCATCAGAGGAGCAGGTGGATGCAGCTGAGCGTGTGGTGAAGTATCTGAACTCTCACCCAAGCATTGGAGTTCAATACTCCGCATCTGCACAGGTGAAGCAGAAAGGGGTTGAGGTGCTGAAAGAGAAAGGGGAGAGGCTTGGAGAAGGCAAGCTCTTTCTCACTTGCTTTACCGATGCTACGTGGGCCTCTGAGAAGGAGGATTCCTCATCTGTGGGAGGATACATCTGCGTAGTTGGGGGAGGACCGGTTAGTTGGAGGTCAAAGAAGCAGACGGAGACAGCACTCTCTTCTGTGGAATCATAGTACATGGCAATATTCCACGGGAAGAAGGAGGTGATTTAGCTGAGGAGGCTGTTGGAGGAGATTGGCGAGGAGCAAAAGGTTGCTACGCCGCTGTTTTGTGACAACAAGGGAGCTCTTGGAATGGCCAGGAACGCTGTGCTTCATGGGCTCAATAAGCACATGCGTATCAAGTGGCACTGGCTGCGAAAGGAGGTGAAGAGGGGGACGGTGAATCCGATCTACATCAAGACTCACCAGCAGCCAGCAGACTTCCTCACCAAGAGGCTAACAGATGAGCCTCATTGGCGTTGTGTGCGCATGAGTGGAATGAGCATGAACTAGCATGGAATGATGGAGATGCAGCCGGCAGGCTGAGGGGGAGTGTGTTGGGTGCAAATACACATTGCACGACATCCTGCCGTCTGTTTGTATGAGTATGCGTCTGCGAATGCATTTGGGTGTGAATGGAATGTTCGTCTGTTTGTTTGCTTTCGCAATTTTCGCTTGAAGCATTTGCAGGTACTCGCGCATTATGCACTTCGGCACAACATTGTACGCGCTATGAACAGTACAAGCAAAAAGGACGAGCTTGCAAAGGAACCCAAGATGGAAGCTTTGCGGTTCAACTTACTTGATTGCGCAGATTCAGTTCTATCCAACTCGAAATTGTACTGTTTTGTTTGGTTGACTATAGTGTAGCAGGGCAGGCAGTATAGGGGTACAATTTAGGTGAAGGTTGGATGTTGTTTGTCTGTATCTGCTTGCTACAGGGCCAGGGGAAACCAGCGGAACCAGCATTTGGCTGGTTGGGCAAAGACAAAACAGGTTCTGTTTTTAGGACCTGAACCTGGTTGTTGTTTTCCTAGGTTGGAAATACAGAACCAGAGGTTGTTTACCAACCTACCACCTGCTGTTTTGTCCAGCCAGGTTGGTTCTGTTGCTTGGAATGGTTTGGGATCATCCCTAGTTGTTCCCAGGTTTATTCCCAAGGTCCTTTCTAGCTAGAACTATATATTCCTTCTCTGTTTGTACCTGAATGTAGTCAATTTGATTCAAGTGAATTCCTCCCTTCCTGGAATTTCGTTTCTACGCGGTTCAACGGCGTAATGCTACCCGAGTCAACGCTAGTACGCTAGCACTCCAACACTAGGTAAACGCTGTCCGAGCCATAACCTCGTAATGGCAAAACTTTTCGCAAGGCACCTTGGTTCATTTTAAAGCTCTTGGAGCGAGCTTCGATATAGTAAATTCTCAGCTTAATCCGATCAACGGTCTGCACGATACGCTGCGCGACGTTCAAGGTACATTTGTTATTTTGCCTAAGTCATTCTTTATCCCTCTCTCTACAAACTCGGACCCGAGGATAGGGGCTGGTTTTGTACCAGGCACCCAAGGACCCTTGGAGGTGACCCCGAGGAGAGGTTTTAAGTTTGATAAAGTCTTAATAGCTTGAGTTTATTAGGCCCTTACACCAACACAAGGTACTCTTGCTGTTTTGACTAAGTCCCTCTTGATCCCTCTCTCTTCAAACTCGGACCCGAGGATAGGGGCTGGTCTTGTACCAGGCACCCAATGACCCTTGGAGGTGACCCCGAGGAGAGGTTTTAAGTGTGATAAAAGTCTTAATAGCTTGAGTTTATTAGGCCCTTACACCAACTCTACTTGTACTCCTAATTCTGCTCAATGCACTCATTCCTCGTTTCTTATCATGATATCAAGCAAGTTCCCTAGTGGGAACGATTCCTAAGGCCCACCACGATATTTTTTTTCCTGCCCGGAGTGCGCTTCACTCCTGCCCGAGTCGCGCTCTATGTGCCCTCCCTACCGTCGAGCCCTCTCACGGCCCCTTCGCGCCGCCTTTAGCGGCCCCTCTCACAGCCCCTTACGCCGCCCTTACGGCTCCTCGCGCTGCTCTTTACAGCCCTTCGTGCCGCCCTCTATGGCCCCTGGCGTCGCCTTTACGGCCCCTTACGGCCACTTGCGACGCCCGTCGGCCCCCCTCGCGGCGCCCTTACGGCCCCTTACGGCCTCGTCGCTGCCTTGTCTAGGCCCCTTACGGCCCCGTCGCCGCCCCGTCTAGGCCCCTTACGGCCCCGTCGCCGCCCCGTCTGGGTCCCTTACGGCCCCGTCGCCGACCCGTCTAAGCCCCTTGCGGCCCCCTCTGCGGCCCCGTCTAGGCCCCGTGCGGCCCCTCTACGGCCCCGTCTAGGCCCCTTGCGGCCCCGTGTAGGCCCCTTACGGCCCATCTGCGGCCCCGTCTAGGCCCCTTACGGCCCCTCTGCGGCCCCTCTGAGGCCTCGTCACCGCCACCTGCGGCCCCGCCGCCGCCGCCTGCGGCCCCATTGTCGCCGCCTGCGGCCCCGTCGCCGCCACCTGCGGCCCCGATGCCCTCCCCTAGCGGCCCCGTCACCGCTCAGCCGCCCAGCGACCGAGCCGCCAAGCAGCCCAGCAGCTGAGCCGCCCACCAGCCAGAGCCGCCGAGCCGCCCAGCAGCCGCGCCGCCCAGCAGCCGAGCCGCCCAGCCGCCGAGCCGCCGAGCCGCCCAGCAGCCGAGCCGCCCAGCAGCCGAGCCGCCCAGCAACAGAGCCGCCGAACCGCCGACCCGCCTCGCAGCCGAGCCGCCTAGCAGCCGAGCGGCCGAGCCGCCGAACGCCCTACTGTCGAGCCGCTGCTGTTCCTGCTGGTGCGCCCCGGCCCTACTTACTCAAACTGGTGAGATCATTCCCTACTAGGCCACTGCAGTCATGGCTACCCCCAGTGTCCTTACCTTTGATGCTGAGGGCCGTGCCGTTGACTTTGAGGTCTGGGTCGATGATCTCCAGCTGTTTCTACAGTGCCATGGGGCAGAGAGACTCTCTCTGTTCGATCTCACGTCTGGTGTTTCTCCCGCCCCACCTGCTACTGCTGACAGCACTGTTCGCTCACAGTGGGCCACACGCGATGCTGCTGCTCGCCTTGCTGTGCATCCCCACTTACCGACCGCTGAGCGTGCGCACTTTAGCCAGTACAAGAGTGCTAAGACCTTGTACGACGCTGTAGTTGCACGCTACTCCTCCCCTGCCACTGCTGCTCTTAGCCGCCTCATGCTGCCGTACCTGTTTCCTGACCTTGCTGCTTTTCCCACAGTCGCTGACCTTATCACTCACCTTCGCACTAGTGACATTCGCTACCGCGCTGCGCTTCGTGCTGAATTCTGGACCAAGAACCCCCCCCCCCCATGTACATCACCCTCTACTACATAGTCACCCGCCTCCCTGACTCCCTTCGCTTAGTCAGGGACCACTTCCTCTCAGTTTGCCCCACCACACTCACCGTCGACCTCCTCGAGGAGCGCCTCCTAGCAGCAGAGAAGAGCATAGTCGCTGTAGGAGTCTCTCGTGGTGACCCTCGCACCTCTGTCTTTGTGGAGTGTTACCCCTCCCCCCTCTTGCCCTCTGTTGCTTCTGCTGCTGCGGCCGACCTCGTTGGTTTCGAGTCGGTCGGCGCTGCATCTGCCTCGATCGGGAGACGCCGCACCGGCAATGGCAAGGGGGGCAAGGGCGCTGGAGGGGCTAGCGGGGGCGGTGGAGGTGGTGGTGGGGGCAGTAAAGGGGGTGGGGGTGGTGGTGGTAGTGGTAGCGGGGGTGGAGGTGTCGGTGGCAGCAGTGGAGGCGGGGAAGGCGGCAGTGGTGGCGGAGGGAGCGGAGGCGGTGGAGGCGGTGGAGGCGGCGGAGGTGGCAGAGGCGGCGGAGGTGGTGGAGGCGGCGGCGGCAGCAGTGAACCTGGTCGCGGCTCTGCGCAGAGGAGTAGCTCCGGTGGTGGTCCGCGCCAGCAGCAGCAGCGCAGCCGCGAGACTTTGTCCCCTCAGAAGCTTCGTGAGTAGTACGCTGCACGTCAGCGCGGTGGGGGTACTGGTCCCTGCACCCAGCGCTGCTTCGGCCGTGTGAGAGTACGACGGCTTATGCCAGCTATGCTTGCTTGCCTCTACTTTATCATGCTATTTCTAGCATAGGATAATCATATGCATGCATGAATTGCTTGATTTCCTAGGCTAGGTGCTTTCCTATATTTGATTATAGTTATAGCAACGAGCTAGGTTGCGTGCACCGAATTCTGGCTTTCCGGTTGCCACCGAATTGCCTTCTACCGAATTCGGTAAGGATCTGTTCGGGACGCTTCGCGACCCGCGGAACCTTCGCGTAACACCTGGTTACGGGGCCTTGTGTCGAGCCTATATATAGCCTCGTGTTGTACCCAGGTGGACATTCAATTCGATTCAATTCGACTCAATTCTCATTCTCTTTTCTGAACTCGATCTTAGATCCTTACACTTGGTAATCAGAGCGGGTTTACACGCGAGGTCTTCAACCGCTTAGTTCCGGCCTTTAAAAACCGCGGGGGCGACGACGAAAGCGCCGATACGGGTATGTAAAACCAGTTCCGCGCAATTTTTCTAAGTCCCCCTCGATTCGGTTTTCGAACACCCCTCAGATTTACTGGTGGAAAGGTTGGAGTTTCGACCGTTCGATCGACTTTCATCTCAACGGCCCAGAGAATTTCGCCCAAAAAAGTTGGAATTTGGAGCGTCGGATCGATTTCTCCTCAACGGCCAAGATCGGACGCGAATTTCGCCTAAGGGAGATTTACGCAACCTACAGAATTCGCGCTCGTCGATTATAAAGTCTATTTGACTCGCAGTAAGTCGACCAGCACCTAGAATTCGATTATTTTCGTCGCGCATCTTCCTGTAAATCACCGAATGGAGGGCCAAGGCGACAACTACGCGACTACGAGCGACATCGCGAGCCTCCGCACCGACATAGAGCAGACGCAGGCGACACTTCGTCGACTCGAGGCTTTTGTGACAAGCCAACCAGGGTTCGCCACAGCAGCAGTGGCGACACCGACATTTCACGGACCAATGGCACCACTGTCGCCGAACCTCGAAGCAGCACGACCGAGGCTCCCGGAGGCGTTCGATCCAAACGCGAAGGGATCCGACGTCCGGCGATTCGTGGCCACCCTCGAAATTTACTTCGAGGCCATTGGCTGTTCGACCCCGCAGCACGACGCAACAAGGATTCGGCTCGCAGCGACACTGTTACGTGGACCGGCTCTCGAATGGATTTACTACACCGACGTAGCCCGCGGGGAGAAAACGTGGCAGCAGTTTCGGGCAGATTTAATCGAGCGTTTCGAACCAATTAATACAACCTACATGGCGCGGCAGCAGATACACCGACACAAGCAATACAGTAGTGTAACACAGTACACGCAGCAGATGGAGTTACTGTTCAACCGCATCACCGACCTGACCGAAGGCGAAAAAATCCAGGCGTACACCGAAGGATTAAAAATGGAGATTCGGCGGCAGGTGATTGCGGCGAATTACAACAGCTACAGAGACATCGTGCGTGCTGCCGAGCGATACGACGCGCTGACTCGAAGTCAACCCGAAACACGACGCTTCACGCCGAACCGTACATTCGGCACGGAGCGATCGGCACCCCCCACGTTCACCGAACCGATGGATATCGACAAATACGACGCGAAGCAGCAGCCGACAAAATGCGAATTTTGCGGCGCAGCATGACATCAGTTTTTGTCGTGCTACAAAATAAAGAAAGCATGTGCGGCACTCCGGGACGGAAACAGTGGAGCACCCCCGAAGTAAAAAAACGGGAATCGCCAGTAGCCGCGGATCGACCTGGCGATCGCGTAAAGATCCGAAAAGCAGGAAAAGGCGACGACGTGGCGACTTCGGAGCGGGTGAAAAAAGGAGAAAATGATGGCGCGAATTTAAAACGTCACGATTGGCCGGCATCAGGGGAAATCGCCGAGGCGAATGGAGGCTCCGCGAAAAAATACTCTGCATCGACCGGGAAACTCCAGCCGAACACCCACGAAAGTAAGAATTCGTTAAAAGTATCCTATAAAGATGCTCTAACGAAGAATATTGCTTCTCGTGGTTTACAAGCCTTCAAAAAATTCAGGGGAGGCCTAGGGGCCAAGAAAAAGCCTTTAGAAATTATTCAGGTACCTGAGAAGTTGGGCAAAATACTACGGAGCGTAGAGAAGGGTCGTGCGTTCCGTGGAGTTAATATTCTCTCCCCGCAGCACAGTGTTAAGGCTCCCCGTCGCCCACAGGTGAAGCCTACACAGCTGCCAAGGCTTAGAGGAGACATCCAGGCTCAGGAAAAAATATACAAGCCTCGGAAAAATCCTCCTACCCCCCAGGTGAAATTGGAAAGCGCTGAGTCAGGTATAGGAAAAAGGGAAGGTATTAAGTTTGATGTACCCTATGATCCACTCTTCTTCGACCGCATCATCACCATCCACGGCATCCCCGCTACACTCATCTCAGACAGAGACCCCAAATTCACGAGTAAGTTCTGGAAGGAGCTCATGGGACTGTTGGGGACAAAGCTTGCAATGTCTTCAGCATACCACCCCCAGACTGACGGACAGACAGAGCGACTCAATCAAGTGGTTGAACATTTACTGCGCACAGCTTGCAAGGACGACGTCAGCCACTGGGACAAACAGTTACCAACCCTAGAGTTCGTTTACAACAACGCATCATATGCTGTTGGTGTAAGGGCCTAATAAACTCAACCTATTAAGACTTTATCAAACTTAAAACCTCTCCTCGGGGTCACCTCCAAGGGTCCTTGGGTGCCTGGTACAAGACCAGCCCCTATCCTCGGGTCCGAGTTTGTAGAGAGAGGGATCAAGACGGACTTAGTCAAAACAGCAAGAGTACCTTGAACGTCGCGCAGCGTATCGTGCAGACCGTCGATCGGATTAAGCTGAGAATTTCCTATATCGAAGCTCACTCTAAGAGCTTTAAAATAAACCAAGTTGCCTCGCGAAAAGTTCTGGCATTACGAAGTTATGGCTCGGACAGCGTTAGCCTAGCGTTGGAGTGCTAGCGTACTAGCGTTGACTCGGGTAGCATTCCGCCGTCGCACCGCGTAGAAACGAAATTCCAGCAAGGAAGGAATTCGCTTGAATCAATTTCACTATATCCAGGTACAAACCGAGAAAGAATAAATAGTTCTAGCTAGCAAGGACCTTGGGAATAAACCTGGGAACAACTAGGGATGATCCCAAATAATTCCAAGCAACAGAACAAACCTGGCTGGACAAAACAGCAGGTGGTAGGTTGGTAAACAACCTCTGGTTCTGTTTTTCCAACCTGGGAAAACAACCAGGTTCAGGTCCTAAAAACAGAACCTGTTTTGTCTTTGCCCAACCAGCCAAATGCTGGTTCCGCTGGTTTCCCCTGGCCCTGTAGCATGCAGATACAGACAAACAACATCCAACCTTCACCTAAATTGTACCCCTATACTGCCTGCCCTGCTACACTATAGTCAACCAAACAAAACAGTACAATTTCGAGTTGGATAGAACTGAATCTGCGCAATCAAGTAAGCCGAACCGCAAAGCTTCCATCTTGGGTTCCTTTGCGAGCTCGTCCTTTCTGCTTGTACCGTTCATAGCGCGTACAATGTTATGCCGAAGCGCACATTGTGCGAGTACCTGCAAATGCTTCAAGCGAAAATTGCGAAAGCAAACAAACACACGAACATACCATTCACACGCAAATGCATTCGCACACGCATACTCGTACAAACAGACGGCAGGATGTCGTGCAATGTGAATTTGCACCCAACACATGCGGCCATAGGGAAAACTACTTTCTTCCTGTGTTACGGACGGGAACCACTCACACCAGAGCAGCCATTTACACCGGCACACGTCCAAGCCGCACATGACTTCGTCACCACCATGCAGCAGCTATGGGAGAAGACTCAGCGACGTCTCACCACGATGCAGAACTCCCAGAAGCAGTATGCCGATCGTCAGCGACGTGATCACTCAGTAGCAGTCGGAGATCAGGTGCTTCTTGACATGCGCAACTTGAACCTGTCTCACCTCCCATCCAAACTCCGGCCTCGCTTCTGTGGTCCTTTTCTCGTTGAGGCACAGGTGATACCAGTTACATTCCGCTTGCGCTTACCAGATACATGGAAGCTTCACAACGCTTTCCATGTCCAGCTACTAAAGCCCTACAAGGACCCCAACCAACAGTTCCAGGGACGGCAACTACCGCCACCACCACCTGTTCTCATACAGGATGAACCCGACTACGAGATCGAGCGCGTTCCCTCTCATCGGCGCCGCGGTGGCAAGACTCTCGAATTCCTGATACGCTGGAAGGGATACGACCCGACTGAGGACAGTTGGGTTGCAGAAGCTGATATGGGCAACGCACGCCGTGCTCTCAAGGACGATCTTGTCAAGCAGGGTGTATCTCAAGCCACCCAGCTTTGAGGGGGGGACGTGTGAGAGTACGACGGCTTATGCCAGCTATGCTTGCTTGCCTCTACTTTATCATGCTATTTCTAGCATAGGATAATCATATGCATGCATGAATTGCTTGATTTCCTAGGCTAGGTGCTTTCCTATAATTTACTATAGTTATAGCACCGAGCTAGGTTGCGTGCACCGAATTCTGGCTTTTCGGTTGCCACCGAATCGCCTTCTACCGAATTCGGTAAGGATCTGTTCGGGACGCTTCGCGACCCGCGGAACCTTCGCGTAACACCTTCGCTAACTTCGTAATGGCAGAACTTTTCGCGAGACAACTTGGCTTATTTTAAAGCTCTTGGAGTGAGCTTCGATATAGGAAATTCTCAGCTTAATCCGATCGACGGTCTGCACGATACGCTGCGCGACGTTCAAGGTACTCTTGCTGTTTTGACTAAGTCCCTCTTGATCCCTCTGTCTACAAACTCGGACCCGAGGATAGGGGCTGGTCTTGTACCAGGCACCCAAGGACCCTTGGAGGTGATCCCGAGGAGAGGTTTTTAAGTGTGA